ATGATGACTTGAGACGTTTTTTTACAAGACTTATCCAACGAGGTTCTTTTTATGTAATGCACAAATGAATAAAACTCATTCTAAAAAACGATCATAATAAAGAAAAACAAATATATGTCTACGTCTGAATAGTATCTTGAATAGTATCCTGCCATAACGGATGAGCCAATTTCAGAAATTTATAGTTTTGTATGGTATATTGTCCATAATACAGCTCCATTGGACCAAAAAAAAGCTTGAAGACGTTTGAGCTTCTTGACTCTTGTTATCGATTATTGTCACTCAAGACGTGTCCGACTTGTTGATATGAAGCTAGGACAAACCCAACAAATGAGATGAGTGCTAAAGTATTGCTCAAAGATTTCTGGTGATCGCGTCAATCGGTGCAAGACTTTCATATGAAATAGTCTGATTTTATCTCAAGGTTTTAGATCTCGGAAAAAGATGATCGTTCACAAAAGTAAAATATAACGTCTTTTGAAATGTAACCGTTCCAAAGTTCTTAGCACGGGAACGATATCATTTTAGTAATTTTCTGCCGGAACGGAATGGTCGTTCTAAATCATGAAAAACTCAACCGTCACTAGCTAATTACGAGAAACAGCTTTATTTTAAAATGAACAGAAAGTGCCACTTCAGCTTGTCGGGATGCTACACGAACAAGTTCAAAAATACTTACCCTGGCTTCCGAGATCTACTTTCGAACTTTCTGAGCTGTCCCCACGAAAACTGCATGTGGATTTTTCGAGATATTATTATTCTAGATACTATTCAAGTAGCTCTACAAAAGTCGCCAAGTTTCAAACTCGGCCGACCAAATTTTTGGGGTCGGTTTTCCAGAAATCCTCGTCAAAATCTTAATCTCATATTTCATAAAGAACCAGCTTTGATGTTAGATTCGTGTTTAGACTCAAAAATACTGCGTGGTTCAGTGTTTTCTACTCTTCTAAAGGCTACCTGGAAGTCCAGGTTTTACAAGGTTTCTGTAAAACCGACCCCAAAACTTTGTTCGGCCGGGTTTGAAACTTGGCGATATTTTGTAGAGCTACTCGAATAGTATCTAGAATAATAACATCTCGAAAAATTTACTGGTAGTTTCGTCGCGACATTGTATCAAACAATGGAACCCATTATTCCTCGCTTGGCCACATCTCATGCAACATACGAAAAGACATGGTCACACTACGATAAGTATGGTCACGGTACGTCATCTGTGACCATATCAAGTTTATAGTATGCGCTTCGATCTAGCTCTGAAGCGTCGTTTAAGAACTAGCTGTAACTAGTGACATCTATTCATCGAAGTTATTCATTCGAACGTGTTACTCGAAGATTCATCTGAGTAAACAAGTAGATTATTGTATTGCAAAGTTGAGATAATTAATGATCAATCGACACACTTTCATTGATCAACGATTCAACGAATACAGAATTCAATGGAAATCATAGTTGGTCCATCGTCTTGCCGTAAATGCAATCCAAATATCAGAACAAACTAAATCTAGAATATAACTAATGTTAGATTAACCTTGTGGGAGAAATGTATGCTCATAGATTTTTTTGATAATTTCCTATCCGAATCAGGATTAGTCTCAACGCTTTAACTTTGGTTGTTGATTTTCTTAGACATTGAACAATTATAATCAAAGAATTTGCTTTATTTTGGCTGAGTGATATTCAACTGAAATGTTTCAAATAAAAATGAGCATAGTTAGCATCTAATATTCAATTAAAGTAGTAGTTATAGCCTTTTTCTCACTTTCGTCCTTTCATTCGGAAATATACCTAGCAGAGGCGCAAAATATGCTTCGATGTCGTTTTCTCAAAGTTATAAAAAACTGTTGTTAGCTTATTTTGACCTATTCTTGCATTGCATTGCATTGCACGAGAAGCTAACAGGAAAGAACAATTGTTCTCTCCTCCTTCTAACAGTTAATTAGAATATTTGAAGCAGCTTGCTCGGGATAATGTTCAAGTGCAAACAAATTACGATCAACATACGCTAATCGTGATAGGCTATCGTCGCTCATATCAAGGCTAAATTACGTTGATTGTACCGCCTTACGTCTATCTCTGCTACCTATAGTACCTTGACTAAGAAGAGCCTGGGTTTATTATATTTTAGATCCTTGTTTATTTAAATGTCTGTTCATTATTTGAAATTGAATCGATGTTTATATCAAATAGAGCAATGCATTAGACATCCACATTCGACATTCAGATGGAGAAAAGCACTTGTACGTAGTTTAAACTTATTAATTATCTCTTGTGAAACATTTGCGAAAGAAAGATTACAGCTTAGTGACTAAAACCACAACGTGTCTTTTAAGCAAATTATTTTGTTGCGTATGAGAAGAAATATATACGTTTTTTTATGTCAAATACTTAGTAGTCTACCATGGTAAAACATCTCAGTATGCCTCGTTCGTTTAAATTATGATGATTTTTCTTTCGAATAAAAACTAAATAAAACATCTCGTTTTGAAGGCAAATAAAGATGTGCGGTTTTTGATCACTAAGCTGTTATGTTATTCTTAAAATGATTTGTATAAGCGATGTATGCTTTTTCTTTTATGTGGAGTTCTTTGTTGTTTTTAGAGATTCTTCAGTAGTTTATCTACCCCATATTCTTCATCTTATCAATTTCCATCTCGTTTGAATACAATTGTACCAAAAGGATTTGAAAAATATTTTCCTAGTGGAGGGAAACGAGGACCTCAAGAACCTGCACGTAAGTCGTTTGCAACTCACATTTAATTATATGTATTGTTAGAAAGAATACTTTATGTTTTCAACTTGATAATCCGAATACTTCTTCTCATTTTCACAGCACCAAACAACAAACAGCCTCCCAATACACCCAAAGAGCCTCCTCCCGGTGAACTTCCACCGAGTGGTGGTCAACCGAAACCTCCCACTCCAGGTCCATCTCCCGGTGGACCAGGTGCTCCTCAACCGCCACAGAGTGGACCATTTGGACGAAAAGTGTTCGAATTTAAATTTTCACCTGGAGATGGGTACGTCGATTCGTCTAGTCTTTTTTTAGTCCCTAATAAATGTTGTTGTCTTATTTTATGGATGTGTAGAAGTAATCCTTTCACAAATAATCGTACATGGCTTGCCATTTTGGTTGGTAGTACAATTGCTTTTTATTTTGCGTATCAAAATGCGATATACAAAGAAATAACTTGGAAAGATTTTGTCGCCCAGTATTTATTAAAAGGATATGTAAGAATAAATTCTACGATTATGTTTTTTTAAATTTTACTTTTTCTCTTGCATTTCGTTTTAGGTTGATAAATTAGAAGTTGTTAATAAAAAATGGGTACGAGTACAACTGATACCGGGAGCACCAGACTCAATGGTAAGAAGTTATAGACATGTTATTGATACATTAGGTTTAACATACATGCGCGCTCTAAAGACTAATACACAAGAATTAGTTTGTTTTATTTTCTCTTTGAAAATATTGAAATAATGTACAATTTTCTAGTAGTCTGTGTATTCTTCTATTGAGTCTTTCCTAATATGCGAATAGTAGATTTATAATTCAAATATTTTATAGAATATAGTACTTTATATAATTTTTAACTCAATAGAAGTAATACATTTAAAAGCTGATTTTATATTGACAATCCAAAGATCATTCTTAATATTTTCTTAATATTCACATGATATATTTTTCTATTTGTAGCACAATATGTGGTTTAACATTGGTAGTGTTGATTCATTTGAGCGTAATTTAGAAAATACTCAAACTGAACATGGAATTGATGCGGGTGGTTATGTACCTGTTTTATATAAAACAGAAGCTGATGGGTAAGCATTAAATAGAACTTACTCTTCTTCTTTCATAATTATCATTCTCTTATATATTTAGTAATACATTAATGGCATTAGCAGGATGGGTGTTACCAATACTATTTTTTGTATGGATATTTCGAAGAGCAGGTTGGTTAATTCAATGTTCAAAATGTTGGTTTCATTTTGCAAACGTCTAGTAATATCCACGTGTGCAACGACCAGTATCTTTCTGATTTTCGTGTATAACTTCTAACTCCATCGGTTGCCACGTTAACCAAGACTAAAGTGTCTTCTTTAACTTTCGCAAACTTAAATGTAATTTCAATCATGCGAAAATCGAGTTCATGTCTTTGTCCTAGTGTGTTTTGATGTTTTATTTATTTTTTTGTTATAGGTGCAGCCATGGGTTCTCAATTTGGTGGATTTGGAGGTGGTCGTGGAGGCAGCGGGGGAGGCATCTTTGGAGTTGGACAAACAACAGCTCGAATTGTCAAAGAGAATGTTGGAGTATCGTTTAAGTACGTTAAACTATCCATGAATCACGAGAGTCACGCTCATAATACATGAGTGGTTGCTTCCAATAAACTAAGACCAAGTGTCTGAAAACTGCATCTCTGATTTTTGTCATGACTTCTTGAAACGAAAGGCAATAATTTCAGATATACGTTCTTATAATATTATTGCATCTTTGTCGTGAAGAATTTTTATTTTGTGTATCGTTTGTTTTTTTTATTCAGAGATGTAGCCGGCTGTGAAGAAGCTAAGGTTGAAATAATGGAATTTGTTAACTTTTTAAAAAATCCACAACAATACATCGATTTGGGAGCAAAAATACCAAAGGTATCAATATTCACACGCTTCTCTCTTTGAATGTAACGATTGATGTTCTCTATTCAGGGTGCCATATTGACTGGTCCACCTGGAACTGGTACGTGACACTTACTCGTATTTCTCTGCACATATGATGCACTTGTATTATATTTGTGTTTAGGCAAAACTTTACTGGCCAAAGCAACAGCTGGTGAAGCCAGTGTGCCATTTATCACCGTTAGTGGATCTGAGTTTTTGGAAATGTTTGTTGGTGTTGGACCGTCTCGAGTAAGTAGAATGATATATTAGATTCGGGCATGTATAGATAGAATGATTGAATTTGTAATTTAGGTACGTGATATGTTTGCGATGGCTCGTAAAAATGCACCCTGTATATTATTTATTGATGAAATCGATGCTATTGGGCGAAAACGAGGTGGTAGATCAATGGGAGGACATTCAGAACAAGAAAATACGCTTAATCAGTTGCTAGTAGAATTGGATGGTAAGAATACTTTTACAGATATATTCAACAGAATGAGTGATTAAACATGAAGGAAAGGGATAAACGTCTACAGATCATGCAGTTAGAAAAAGTAGTGAAAATGTATATCGACACTTGATTTTTATTCTTTAGCCTGATTCTTTTAAGAAGGATTCTACCAGCAGACCGCGAAAGAACGTAACATATAGAAAATTATTTTGAGTTAAAAAAGTATCCCGTTTTATTCCGACACAAAGAAAATTATTACAAGATCATTGCATTTAACGTATGTGTGATTGTCATATGTTTTCTAAAACTCATAGCTCTTCAGCCATGTAACTTACAGAGTTACGAAATGTATTTGTAACTAGAACATTTTTCGTTCAAATCAGACTCAAGTAAAGGTTAATTAATCGCTCAGTTAGTATATACAACATTTTAGAAATAAGTTACTTTTTCAAAAAAGCGGCTTTTCTTTGATACATCACATATCGGAATCAGTCTGTTCTTTACTCTAGTCTGATTTTAACGAAAAATATTCAAGTTACAAATACATTTCCCAATTCTGTAAGTTACATGACCAAAGAGCTATGAGTTTTAGAAAACATGTAAGAATTACGCAATAGTTTACCAATACGTGGACTAGCCGACTATCTAAAGTTTTAACCTTCGACGACTTTTGATTGAAAGATAAATTCATCTACAGTATATCTCGATTCATAAAAGTTTTGACGCCATTCACCCTACGCAGTGGAACTAGCCGGATATTTAAAAAAATCGCCGGAAATGCCTTCAAATATTTTTAAAAAGTGCCAAAAGATTTGTAAACTAGCAAAAAAACTCGAAATTTTAAATAATAGATCTGGCACGAGAGTATTGGCTGCGATCTTGTACTCGACTCTTCATCTGCTTTTTTATTGTACGTATAGAAAAATGTATCATTGTCTAACATTATTAGTTAGTCAATGTTGTCAAATCGTTTGTGAGACTACAAAATACTTTATTTTAATTTCAAGAAACTTAAAGTAACGTAAGATTATCAATCTTTTCTTTGATAATATCCATGTATAAAAGTTAGATATTCACTTTAACCCTTTACGGCCGGGTGTTGACTACCGGTAACATCGATCTATTAAGTGTCGAAGAAATTTCGTTCTAAAAGAATACACTTTGCCGATCCCTGTCACAGCAAAACAATAAATATAAAGGGAGGAATATTTTTATTAGTTAATTTTTGGCAGCCGACAGAAAAGGAATATGCACAGAAGGGGAT